AGCAGCAGCGGGGCGGCTCTGGGCTGCGGGTGTGTAGCTGTGTCCCCGTCAGGGCAGGGGCAGACGTGGCTCTTGGGGTAAATCTGGTATCTTTGATGAGGCCGACTCCCGTAGTTGGACAAATTCTTCTTAGCAAGCTTTCGGGCCCCCGTGCCTTTTTGTGCTCGTAAGCTTGCTCTCGAGAACTTTTTCTCCAACTGTTGGAGTCGGTCTAATCGCAGATATCTTATTTACCCCCAGGACCGCGTCGGCTGAGGTGACGGGTGAATTTGGGGGCTCTGCTCCCCCCTCCACCCGCCAGTGCTGTGCAGAGGGGGCGGGGGTGAGGGTGCCAGGTCACCGGGGGTGCCCGCCTGGCGAGTCGGGGTGCTGGTGTGACAGAAGGTGTAAGCGGGCTCCTTCTTCCCGCTTCCTTTTTTAGAGCTCACCTTGATGCAATTGCAAGCAATGACAGACGGGTTTCGGGTTAGACTTCAATCAAAGCTGTATGCTAAGACAAATGCAATACAATACTCCAAATCGGGCACCTTGCCCTGAATAAAAAGATTTTAGACTGGGATTATGGGGCAAAACCTGCTTCAGGTCAAAACAAATGTCTCTGCCACTGGGGGACTCCCGGCTGGGAGCTGCCTGACCCAAAACAGGTTTTGTCCTATAATGCCAGCCTCATCTTTTTATTATTATTATTATTATTCGGGGCAATGTACTTGATAGGCGATATTATATTACACTTGGATTTGTCGATGTTTGTTGATGGAATTGTAGCTCATTAGCAGATCTAATTCATTGCTCACAACCTTTAATTGGGTAAAGATTCATTTTGAAAATGGAACCGGGCATGGAGACCTGGGCATTAGCAGCCTGTTTCAGCCTCATGTCACCCCAGCCGCAGCTCGGCCTCCCGGTGCCCTGACCGGCAAGGGGTGTTACACTGGTTGTTAATGGAGGGTGAGAGGAGTTTATTTGACTAGTGAGACCGTTCCAGTCACAACTCAGATGCTTTATTGGACTATGTACTAGCAAAGACTTACATTGTATCAATAAAGACAATGTTTGTGTAGCCTTGAATTCAGGGAAGAACCTGGCCCGCTGGCCAGGCTTTTCTGTTCCCCTGGGGACTTCAGTTGGTTCACTGAGCTTTGGAGAAGTCCGAAGTATTTTTTTAGCTTATGCCCAATATTTACAATTGGCTGGGTTTCATTTTCTAATAAATGGTCTTTGACCGGTTTTATTTTAATTTCCTCGTTTCATTGAAATTGTTAGAATGGACGGAACTAGATCTCCTGTCGGCACAGAAAGGCTTGGGAAAGTAAAGAGGGAGGGCTTCGTGTTTCCTTTTCCTGTTACTGTACTTCTTTGCTCTAATTTATGGTCTTCTCTAGCAAGGCTGCTTTGTTTCTACAGATCATCTAGGCAAAAAACCCCATCTATTATAGCAAAATAACATTGAATACATGTGGTCACACACTCCTAATATTTTAAGATAAAGCCACAATATAGTGCATTGTTTCATTAAGGTTTGTTAGCACATGCCATCAGCGTGTCTGGCTAAGCTAGTTGTTGCATCCACAGCGATTCACACTGCAGTCACTCAGGCATGGGCTTCTGCTGCTTAGTCGCTGCAGCTCGCACTGCTCCATAGGCCAAGTGTAGGCATATAGGGCGTCTTTACACGTGCTCCAGGGTAGATGGTGTAGTGCTTCAGTGAGAACTGCTTTACATAAAGCATCTCTGGCATTACATGTATTCAGTGTCCCAGTCTTCAAAATGGTGGTGGAAGTGCTTTAACTAAAGCCCGTTCGATCAGCTTTAGTTCAAGTGCCTCTGCCACCATTTTTAAGTGTGGGGATGCTGAATACACGTGGTGTGGAGGCTGCTAGAGCGTGCTGGTTGGAAAAGCAAAGCCCCTGAATTCTCCCGTGACCTCGAGGCGGCATTGCCGGTGCCACAGCCCAGGCCCCACTGTGGTGCCCTGAGACTTTCTGGGGCAAGAGAGAACAGCAAATTGTGATGGCCCCATGCCTTTTTTTGAGGACCATAACGCAATGCCATTCTGGTTTGATCCCTGGGAAATTCAGCAAACCGTTATAGCCCATCCCCTCGCTTTAGATCTCAGTTTCTTCAGCTCTAAACTGGGAATAATACCTGCCTCCCTGAGTAGCACAGGGCAAGGGCACTTCTGTTTTGAAACGTGACTCCAGTGATTTCAGACTACATGTACTTGTCTCTCTGGTTTCATATAAAAAGCTTTGTGTCTTCTATTTTCTCGTCTCCCCGGGCATCTACACATGAGCACGAGGGCTGCTCCAACGCGCTGGACATCCGCTGTGTCAGAGCAGACTCGATTCACTGAGTCTGTTGGAGCGTGACAATTGCTGTGACTCTCGTGTATCGTGCTTAAAAATGATGGTGGAGGTGCTTGAATGAGCTTTAGTTCAAGTGCCCCCGCTGCCATGTTGATAGAGTAGCGCTTTGAGATGCTCTGATCAAAGCACCGCCACCCCCCATCCCGAGCACGTGTAAAAGTGCCCCGGATTCAGCCAGCGCTTCCAGGCAAGAAGGCCTCCTGCCTCTTCATGCACCAGCCATGTAGA